ATACCCGTGTACACACATCCGGTCTCATACCTGTGCGCGCACACATCCGGTCTCATACCCCTGTGCACGCATCCAGTCTCATACCCATGTACACACATCCAGTCTCATACCCGTGCGCTCACACATCCAGTCTCATACCCATGTACACACATCCAGTCTCATACCCATGTGCACACATGCAGTCTCATACCCGTGTACACACATCCAGTCTCATACCTGTGTGCACACACATCCAGTCTCATACCCATGTGCACACATCCGGTCCATACCCGTGTGCACACATCTGGTCTCATACCCGTGTGCACATATCCGGTCTCATACCCGTGTGCACACATCCAGTCTCATACCCGTGTGCACATATCCAGTCTCATCACATCTGTCATAAATGAGACACAGCCAGTCCACTGAGAAGTCCAGGCCCTCCCCAGGACACTCTGTGAGGCTAAAAGAAATTATTTACATTTATAAAGAAGGAATATGGTGAGTCTGTTCTTCATGATGAGTGGTTTCTTGATCTCAGTTTGAAGTTGGTTTTTATCTTTAGAGGGCACCGTTGATTGAGAAGAAAAACTAGTATTTGCATCTTTTATCTAAGATGGCCTCACTGGTAAATTTTCCTTCTATTTTTGGTAAAATGTCAGTTGACTTCTTTCCAATTCCAGTGGTTAAAAATTATATTATGCCTACTTGACTTTTTGGTGAAAGAATTTCAAGAACCCAAAGCAAAGGACGTCATGCGGTCAGAGTGTCCATTGCACACTTATGTGTGAGTGAGCTGGGCTGTGTGCGGCTGGGGCAGACGGCAGGTGAAGCTCCTTGAGCCCTGCTCTGGGGTAAAGTGGGATGGGCAGAGAAGAAAGAACTACAGAGATCCAGAAAGGAGCGTGATTTCTGACTTGGTGGTGGTGGTCTGTCATGTCGGTGTAGACTGCCACAGACAAGCCACAGCTGGGCTGAGACCTGGAGGGCCAGGCAGAGCTGGCTGGGCAGTTGATCCTGGTGGAGGCTGCAGGGGGAGGACTTCAGTTCTGCTGGAGTGAGGCTGGAGGACTTAGGAGATGTGAGGGTGGAGTGGTGGACAGAGCCAGGTCACACAGGCCACTCACTGTGAGCTGCACCAGGGATGGGGAACTTGACCCTGACCTTCTCAGTGTTGCCTGCACTGCAGAGCCCGGACTGCTCCAGCTGTGTCATTCACTGTGTGTGCACATGTGGGAAAGTGGCTGTGCACTCCAAGCACTTCCATAATTGCATATTAAGGTTCATCTTAAGTGTGCCCTTCATGGCACCTACTTGTGCTCCAATCCCAACCCTAGAAACTGGAAATTTATATGCACGTGACAGTGTGATGAGCTGGGGCAAACGGCCGCTCTTCCCCATCCCTCACCTCCACCTCATCCTGCAGGTGATGCCACATCAGAGCTGAGCTGGGGAAGCAGCAGAGTCTCCTCTGTGGGACGGCATGCAAGGTAGGGCTGGTGGGGTCAGGCCTGAGGTAAGAGTGCAATCAATAATAAGGGGTGACAGCAGCCAACAGCAGGCCAATGGCAGGGAAGGTGTGTGGGCGACATCAACAAGACCACGCCCTTCTGGACAGAAGACAAGGGATGAAGAAGTGTCAGTCATGTCCCCAACACTTTTAGCTTGGACCAATCACTGGATGGTGATGCCATCAACTAAGAAAGGAAGGCTGGCAGGAAGCCCGCTGAATTTCAGAGGCCCTCAGGATGCTCACGGCAACCACATCCAGCAGGTAGCTGATACAAGGGCCGGATCCCGGGATAGAGTGTAGTAAGAGACACGTATAATCATAAATAATTACACATCAGTGATAGTTAAGATCAAGTAAGAGGAAGAGATAACAGCAGCGTGTGTAGAATATGGAAAGAATTTGGCTAAGGAGATAATATGGTATTTAAATCATAGATTAAGAAAATGAAGCCCAATCCAATTCCATAGATGTGAAGGAGTAAAATCCAGTTTGCGAACAGCAGACAAGTGAAAAGGAGGTGGGTGGGGGGCAGCACCGGAGACCACAGCTGCGTCAGGGAAGGAAGTGGCGGGACGGCAGGTGTGGCAGGGGGAGCTGAGCCAAAGGAAGGGCTGTGCTCCTACTGATGTTTGCTTTTGAGGAGGAGAGGCTGGTCACTGCATTCTTTCTGCAGAGTCATGACAGAAAGAATGTGGGAGTGGAGACGGAAGAGATGGGTGACACTGGGGGACAGCAGAAGACACAGAGACGGCACAGATGTCAGAGGTCAGCAGAGTGAAGGCGTTCACCCCAGCGTCTTCTGATTCTAACCCTCGCGTGCTCTCTTACCTCCAGCCTGTTACTCCAGGCCAGCAGCTATTCTTGCTCTGTGCCGATAGTTTGGGTACCTCCTATTTCCAGGAGGAAAAGCCCTTCTCAGGATCTCTAAAGGTAGAAAAGAGACACAGGAGCTCTGTCAGTCACTTCAAGGCCTAAGACAGCATAGTCTGTGTGACTACAGATTAACAAGCAAGGCTGCAGTCAGTTTTCCTGAACCTGCCTGCCCCGAGGGTCCTGAGGATGCTCCAGTTTCCTCTCCCTCTGCAGCCCGCCCTCCCTCTCCCCTGCGCTGAGCCGCCCAAAGCTCAATTCTCCCCACTCTGCATCACCACGTGTGAAGCCCCGAGGGAAGGGACTGCCACATTTATCTTTCAGTCCTGCATGGGATCTGCCCAGGGCTTGTCACACACATTTGTTGAATTAAATTAAATCATCGTGTTGAAAGCAGCCTCGGAGACAGCTGCCCATCCACATTAGTGATGCTCCCAAGGCCCCGCATATGTTCATATTTCATCTTAGAACTATCTTCTGAGACATAGGAAAGTATTGGTCACATTAATTTGTATCCACATCATTATTTCCCCCAAATGGCACTTGTCCAATGAGATAGCCACTTCCCCAAGATGGCCGTTTGGTGGTCACACTCCTGGGTAATCCTCTCCCACAGTGGGCCTGGGTTGCTCTGGGTGACTAGTAAAACAGGCAGAAGTGATATATCACTTCTAAGATGAGGTCATAAAAGATTGTACCTCAGTGTTGGGTGCTTTTTTGCTTGCTCATTCAATCTCTCTCTCTCTCTGATCATTGTCTCCAGGGGAGCCCCACTATCATGTTTTGAGGACATTCAGACTGCCCTGTGGAAAGGCCCATAGGGTGAGAAACTGAAGCCCTCAGTCCAACAGCCTGTGAAGAACCCGGCCCTTGCAACGCCATGTGAGAGCCCTTGGAAGCGGCCCCTTCAGCCCTGGTCAGTCATGGGATGAGACCACAGCCCCAGAAGACATCTCATCTGCAACTTCCTGATAGTCCCTGAACTAGAACCCCAGTTAAGTTGCTCCTGAGTTCTTGACCTTCAGAAACCATAAGATAATAAGCGTTTGCTGTTTCAAGCTGCCAAATTTGGGGATAATTTGATACATGGTAATAGATAACCAATGCATCCAAGTTTGCTATTAATTGGATACATCATATTTATTTCCAAACAGCTCTTGGCTATCGCTAACACCAAATCCAAGGACAAACGTTTACTACTACAGAGATTCAGAACAATGGGCTCTAGATTCTGGAGGCAATTCCAAAAGAAGTGTTCATAAAAATGTTTGGTCACTGGTCATACTGATACAGTGACCACATATTCTCCCAAACTGATAACTTAGGAGATCTGTAAAAACTAGGTATATTGCCTTGGTGCCTGTAGCTCAGCGGCTGGGGCACCAGCCACATACCCAGAGCTGGTGGGTTTGAAATCAGCCCCAGCCTGCCAAACAATATTGACAACTCCAACCAAAAAATAGCCACGTGTTGTGGCAGGTGCTTGTAGTCCCAGCTACTTGGGGGGCTGAGGTAAGAGAATTGCTTAAGCCCAAGAGTTTGGGGTTGCTGTGAGCTGAGATGCCACAGCACTCTACCCAGGGCAATATAGTGAGACTCTGTCTCAAAACAAACAAACAAACAACAACAACAAAAAATCTAGGCATATTTTTACATCAAGCCACAGATTATAAGGCCTAACATTTTAATTTTCAAATAAATTGGAGTATACTTAGTGAGGATCAAACTTTGAGCTCACTGAGGTTTAGTATCTGTTACTCATTTTAAGAGAGAACATGGAATTGTGGATTTGGCAATTCTAGGGAGCAGCATGGAACAAGCACAGGCTTTAGAGCGTGATAAGTCTGATCAAAGACCTGCCCCTGCTGCCCACCACTTGGGTACGGGCCCTGCAGTGCCGAGTAGCCTGACCAAGTTGCAGAAATGCACTAAGCCTCGATTTGCTCTCCAAAACATAGTGCAGCCTCACGAGATAGTTGGAAAGCTGAAGGAGAAACTCGTGTGTACAGGGTAAGCATTTTGTATATGTCAGTTAATGCCACGAGTTATAACTCGTTTCTGCACCTTCCCAAGCAGGCGTCACACCTGGTTTGCGAAGTGTCATGAGACTATGTGAGAAAACCTGTCTGTACAGGGAGGGACAAAGTAGCTGTTAGTGGCATCTACTTACTGAGAAGTTTGGTGGAGTGTGGCCAAAAGGAGATTGTTGGAGTTTGGGGCTATTCAAAAAGTGCTTCAGACTGGGGCAGGGACAAAGGTCAGTGCTGACTGGATATTTCATCCTTGGTAACTTTTAAGTGGCGTACTGACTCAAGGTTACCTTTTTAATGATTTGCAAAGCAAGTTTGTACACTACTATTCTTCTCCTTTTCACTAATATTTTGCATTTCAGAGATCTGACTCCTATGGAATAAGAGACTCATATGAAAAATGATTTCTCAGCAGAGACTGGATTGATCCAAAGAGGGTCTGGTGGCGTCTTGCAGCAGGAAACAGACCACTTACCAAGTGACCGATCATAAAATTGTCCGCTTCTGGATTCGTCAGAAATGAGACCTGTAACACAGTGATGGTGGTAAGACAAAACCCTTTGTCCTATTTCCAGAATGTTCTGTGACTTTATTATTGATTTCACAGATATGCTTCTTAAGCAAAGAGAGCAGTGGAATCTCACCACGGAGCTTTGCCACCATCAGCACTAACGGGAAAAGCTTCAGGAAAGTAAGGAGCACTCCCTCCCCCCCCCCAAAAAAAACACTAGCACAATCTCACTGCAAGTTAGAGGCCAGACCAGTGGGGATAAAGGACAGTCCCTCATCCTCCAGCCACGACACTCAACGGGATGCTGAGCTCTGGTTGTGTAGCTGGAGAACCACAATGTTTGGCCTCAGCCAGCAGATGAGGCTCAGTCCTGACCTCCCCAGCTCCACCTTACTGTGTATCTGGGTCCTATCACCCCTGTGGGAAGGAGCGTGTTCTAGTTATGGGCCCCTCTGAAAGGCAAAACCAGCCTTGGTTCTGTCTATTCAACAGAGACATTGCGGCCATCAAATAGAATTATCACCAGACAAGCTCTGCGGTAAATATAAAGGACTATCTTAAATGAATAGCTTTATCATTATTACGTAGGGATAAGAAAGGATCACAAAAGCAAAAATGTTCATTTTCTATGGTTATTTTATTATTCAATAGTTATGTGTATTGTTTCTATGGTTATTTTATTGTTCAGCAGTTATGTGTATTTCACTTAGACTAACTATGTATTTCTAGTTTTAAATGACTCGCTAACAAGAGCCACCTATGAGTTTGTTTAAAAAGAAAACAATTAAAAAGAACAGATCTTAACTTACCAAAGAGATCATTATTCCTCCATATATGAGATCCTAACATAGTTCCAAAAATCATCTAAAGAAATTGAGGCATCAGTCCGTGGTCAGCACATGAAAATAAGAAAATAGAAAGACATTCTAAAAAATGGACATGTCATCAGGAAGACCCTGACTATTATGTATATTTTTAATGACATAAGGCAGTATATTATATTAAATAACTTAATATGATATCGAACATGTATGTTTAAGGAAGAGCAACTTGCATAAAGTCTAAACTGATCAGTTCTTTCCACTACGCTAGGAGTGTAATCCCAAATTTGCAGGCTGGAAAGACAGAACTTTGTTATACTGACTTGTAGTTTAGGTCTGAGTTTTGGAGTTTTCTCTTTGTGAAGTCCCCATGATATGTTCAGTAGGAAAAGGTATGCATAAGACATTTTCATGAAATCACTGAAAATCCATGTAATGGTCCCACAGTACAGTGGTTGCTCAGCTCATGGTCTTTCTGCCTGTGAACCTGCCCGTCCCAACCAGGGGCAGTTAGTCTCCTGGCCCTTGTCATAGTGATTGACCCAGGAAGTAGAATATAACAAGATAATTTAGTAGAGAAGTAATGGTCTTATCAACAAATGATGCTGGTACAACTGGACATTCTTATGCAAAAGAATGAAGCTGGACCTCTTCCTCACACTATTTACACAAACTAAATAAAAATGAATTGTAGACCTGAATGTAAGACCCACATGAACAACAACAACAACAAATAGATATATTGGGCTTCATCAAACTTTACAACTTTTGCTTTTTCAAAGGGTGCCATCAAGACAATGAAAAACAACACAGAATGGGACAAAATATTTGCCAACAATTAAAAGACAAATAACCCAATTAAAACATGGTCAAAGGATTTGAATAGACATTTCTCCAAAGAGGATATACAATGGCCAATCATTAGTCACTAGCAAAATGTAAATTACAACCACAATGAGATACTGCTTCACATTCACTAGATAGGCTTAAAAAAACAACCAGGCAATGGCAAATGTTGACAAGAATGTATAGGAACAGAAACCCTCATTTGTTACAGATGGGAATAGAAAAGTCTAGAAACACTACAGAAAATAGTTTGATGGTTCCTCAAAAAGTTAAATACAGTGCTAGTATAAGGTCCAGCAATTCCACTTCTGAGAGAATTCAGAACATGCATCCACACAAAAACTTGCACATACATGTTATTAGCATCACTCTTCACAACAGCCAAAAAGGTGAAGACAGCCCAAATGTCCATCAGCTAATGAATCGGGAGGGGGAAGATGGCAGGGAGGGGGAAGAGGACAGGGAGAGGGAGGAGGACAGGGAGGGGAAGAGGACAGGGAGGGGGAGGAGGACAGGGA